ATCTCTGATATTAATTTTAGTAGACCTTAAATACCAACATTCTTTAGAATGAACGTTTACTTATTTCATTTTTGTACTCATAGTGTTTTTGTTGTTGCTGTGAAAACGTAAGTGTAGGAAAAATAACTATAATAGAACTTGGTTTAACATCTTTTCGTTTAGGAAAGGGTTTAAGGGGACTAAAGCCCAGAAATGAATGCACTGATTTGGTAGATAAAGGCTAGTGTTATTTTGTACATTGTTAACTGTGGTACAGAGAGACATGGAGGAGGGCAGTTTCTCACCATAAGCCAGTTACTCACGGGACAGAACACCCGCTTTGGGGCCAGAGCGTCTGGATTCTAATGTTGGCTCCACCGTTCGGAGCAAGTTTCTTTTTGTGTATCTAGGTTTTCATGTGTCAGATGTGGATAATTATTATCCCCATCTCTTAGGGACAGTGTGAAGAGTGATTTACTATGTGTAAAGTGCTTAGAACAGTGGCTTATTCATAGGGAGCCCTCAATCAAAGTTAATGTCATTAATATGCAGAGTTGCAACAACTCTGCTGAGAGTTGTTATCAGATCTCGCCTTTGGCCAAGGTGACCCTTGGTTACTCCTGGCAGAAGTTCTAAGAGCCAGTGTGAAGCACACCACAACCTCATCTCCCTGCTGTGTGATGGTTCAAGTCCAAGTTGGGGAGGAATTTCCCTCTGTCAGGGCCCAGCATGACTGTGAAGGAAAGAATCTTCTCGTTATACATTAAGCCACTGATATTTTCAAACTGTTTGTGACCACTGTATGTTCTAGCTCATTGTGACTGATTCAGTACATTTTGGAACAAAACAGAGAGTGGAAATTAATCAAGGATTTCTAGTAGGGCAAATTATTTTGACAATAACTCTGAATCTTCTTGCAGCAGACCGTCTCAACATATCTAAAAGATTAAAACAGAAAGTCTAAAGAATGTTTTAATATATGAAGATTTGGAGGCCAAAGCGGTATTAGATTCACAAGATGGTTAAATTGGTTAGATGACCATGTTGTTCTCTGACACTGGGTTTTTTTGTTCTTTTTTCTTTTGCTTCTGTATTTAAAACTTTGGTCTCCCAAGACGTTTGCCCATTGTTCTTGCAGTAAAGAAAATAGTTTGACGA